AACAAAGATTATATGAGACCATTATTATAAGAACTCAAGAAAAGGTTTAAACAAAGAAGAAAATATTCTTTGATGGTTCCAAGGATAGGGAGGGAGTGAGAGGGGAATCCACTAACTAGATAGTAGACAAGAATTAGGTGGAGGGAAGGACAACACACTACAGGGGAAGTCAGCACAACTGGACTAAACCGAAGCTAAGAAGTTTCCTGAATACAACCAAACACTTCGAGGGATAGTGTAGCAGGTACAGGGGTCTGGGGACCATGGTTTCAGGGGACATCTAGGTCAATTGGCATAACAAAGTATATTAAGAAAATGTTCTGCATCCCACTTTGGTGAGTGGTGTCTGGGGTCTTAAAAGCTAGCGAGTGGCCATCTAAGATGCATCAGTTGGTCCCAACCTACCTGGAGCAAAGAAGAATGAAGAACACCAAAGACACAAGGAAAATGTTAGCCCAAGATACAAAAGGGGTCACATAAACCAGAAACTCCATCAGCCCGAGACCAGAAGAACCAGATGGTGCCCAGCTACCACCAATGACCGCCCTCCCAGGGAACACAACAGAGAGTCCCTGACAGTGCAGGAGAAAAGTGGGGGGCAGAACTCAAATTCTAGTAAAAAGACCAGACTTAATGGTCTGACTGAGATTGGAGGAACCCAGAGGACATGGCCCCCGGCCTCTCTGTTAACTCAGAACTAAAACCATTCCCAAAGCCAACTCTTCAGAAAAAGAATAGACTGAATTATACGTCTTAAAATGATACTCGTGAAGAGTGTGCTTCTTAGTTCAAGCAGATACACAAGACTAAATGGGCAGCTTCTGTCCAGAGTTGAGATGAGAAGGCAGAAAGGGATAGGAGCTGACTGAATCGACACAGGAAATCCGGGGTGGAAAGGAGGAGTGTGCTGTCACAGTATAGGGAGAGCAACTAGGGTCACATAACAATGTGTGTATAAATTTTTGTATGAGAAACTAACTTGAGCTGTAAACCTTCAACCAAAGCACAATAAAAAAAAAAAAAGAATAACAATGTAGAATAATTTTTGACGTGGAAAGACGTGCACCATCAGGTGTTCCATGAAAATGGCAGGTTATAAAAAAGAATGAGTGAAGTGATTCCATTTCCCTTAAAAAAAACATAAAAATTCTAGATGTTACATCAAAATGTTACCAATGGGTCATGGAATTATAGATTTCTAATTATGAAGTCATCCATCCCATCCATCAACATTTATGAAGTGGCTGTCATCAGCCAGGCACAGTATAGACTTCAGGGTACAGGACAGCCCTGGTCCTGGCCCTAACGGACCTACAGTCTAGTGGGAAAGCTGACTTTTTTAATTGCCAGTATTTATTGTGTGCTCCACATGTATCACCTCATATTATCCCCAAGAACTCTCCTCGAGGGACGCTGTTATTATCGCTGATTTCAAGATGGTGAGCCAGAGGGCTGAGGGATGTACCCTGGACATGTGCAGTCCTCAATAAGAACAAGTAATTGCTCCCTTGGAGTAACTGGGTGGTGCAAATGGTTAAGAGCCTGATTACTAGCTGAAAGGTTGGTGGTTCAAATCCACCCAGAGGCACCCGGGAAGAGAGTCCCGGTATTCTGCTTCCGAAAGGTCACAGCTTTGAAAAGCCTATGGAGCTTTGCACATACAGCGTCACCATGGGTTGGAATCAACTGACAGCAACTAACAACAACAACAATGGCTCCCTTGCCACAGTTCTGTTCTCATGGGCCTCTGATGTTACCTGATCAGGTCCAGGTGAGCCCAGGCTGAGGAAAAGATTTCAGAGGCAAAGAGAAAACTATCTTTAAATATCGGCTGCGGTAAGTGAGAACTTTGGTGAAGGGTAAGATAGTACACAATACTGGAGAAGTCAGCACAATTTGACCAAGGCAAGGTCATGGAAGCTTCATAGACACATCCAGACTCCCTGAGGGACCGAGTTACTGGGCTGAGCGCTGGAGACCATGGTCTCAGGGGACATTCTAGCTCAACTGGCATAACATAGTTTATAAAGAAAATGTTCTACATCCTACTTTGGTGAGTAGCGTTTGGGGTCTTAAAAGCTTGTGAGCGGCCATCTAAGATACTCCACTCGTCCCACCCAGTCTGGAGCAAGGGAGAATGAAGAAAACAAAAGACACGAGGGAAAGATTAGTCCAAAGAACTAATGGACCACAACTACCACAGCCTCCACCAGACTGAGTCCAGAACAACTAGATGGTGCCCGGCTACCACCACTGACTGCTCTGACTAGGATCACAACAGAGGGTCCCAGATAGAGCTGGAGAAAAATGTAGAACAAAATCCTAACTCACAAAAAAAGACCCCAAAAGTATGGCCCCTGGATACCCTTTTAACTCAGTACTAAAGTCACTCCTGAGGTTCACCCTTCAGTGAAAGATTAGACAGGCCCATAACACAGAACAAGACTAATTGGGCACACCGGCCCAGGGGCAAGGACGAGAAGGCAGGAGGGGACAGGAAAGATGTTAACGGGGAACCCAAGCTCGAGAAGGGGAGAGTGTTGACATGTTGTGCGGTTGGCAACCAATGCTACAGAACAATATGTGTATTAATTGTTTAATGAGAAACTAATTTGCTCTCTAAACCTTCATCTAAAGCACAGTAAAAAAAAAAAAATTTTTTTTTTAAACTGGCTGCTAACCAAAAGGTTGGCAATTTGAACACACCCAGCAGCTCCAGGAAGAAAGACCCCGTGATCTGCTTCCATAAAGATTACAGCTGAGAAACCCTTATGACGAAGTTCTACTCTGTCACACGAGGTTGCTATGACTCGAAATCAGCTCATTCCAACCAGACCAAACCTGTTGCCGTCCAGTCAATTCCCACTCATAGCGACCCTATAGGACAAAGCAGAACTGCTCCATAGGGTTTCCAAGGAGCGCTGGTGGATTGGAATTGCCGGCCTTTTGGTTAGCAGCTGAGCTCTTAACCATCTGGACACCAGGGCTCCGCGTATCCACTCAATGGCAACCAAGGATAACAATAACAATTAGATTAATCCTTTTATTTGCATATTTAACTTCAGTCAGACGCTAGGGAGAAGTTACACAATTCATATCTAAAAATGTCAGATGTGTTTGCCAAATTTTCAAAGGTTCTTTAAAAATACAAATACCTAGTGCTGATGAAGCTGTGCTAAAATGATCATCAGCTGCTGACCCGAATGTCAGTGTATACTCGTCTGGAGTATAATTTGGCAGCTTATATTTACAATCTAAAGATCTACATTACTCTTTTACTTGTAAATCCACTTAGAGGAATTTATACTAAGAAAGCAATCAGAAATGCACACAAAGATTTGCTTACATTTATGTCCAATGAAATATTTATCAGAGTGAAAAACTGAGGACGACTCAAAACCAAAACCAAGCCTGTTGCCCTTGAGTCAATTCCGACTCTTAGCGACCCTGTAGGACAGAGCAGAACCGCCCCATAGGGTTTCCAAGGCTGTAGTCTTTACGGAAGCAGACTGCCACACCTTTCTCTGCAGGGTGGCTGGTAGGTCCGAACCGCTGGCCTTTTGGTTAGCAGCCGAGCTCTTAACCACTGCACCATCAGGGCTCCTTGAGGACAACTCAACTGCCCAATAATACAGGATCAGTTAAAGAAAAATTTTTCTCCCCACTATTATGGGGTTTATTAGGGGAGTAACAGTTACAATTCAGGTTCAGGAACACTCAGGATACAGTTCTTCCATCAGGACAGCCTTTCCCTGGCTGTGCTCACAGGCACGCCTCTCCCTGGCCCTCAGCCTCTGCCCAAAGGCACTCAGCCTTCTTTCTCCGTGGGCCGGGAAGCCCACCATCCCATCTCCTGCTATTGGGTCTCTGCTGTCGGGTGTCTCCTGCCACCGCTTCTCACTGTCTTCAAGGTTACAGCTCGTTCTCTGTCTCCCAGGTCCAGGAGCTTCTCAGCGCAGGGATCCCAGGTCCAAAGGATGTGCTGGCTCCTGGCTGTTCTTCCTTGGTGGTGCTGGGATTCTTCTCTCTGCTCTGGAATTGGCTCTCTTTTAGGGCAAAACTGACCTACCCCCTTGGGAGGCCACAATTGCCCTATCACACAGTCCTGCCCAATCACCTGGGTAGGAGTTACAACACAATGGCTAGAATAAAGACATTCTTGTATCTCCATATGATGAAATGTAACGCAGCCATGAAGGACCACTGAGAAATACTGATGGGCATGGGGAAGGTCTAAAAACATAATATTAGGTATAGACATCATACATTACAAAACTTTGCAAAATAAATACCTAACATCAACATAGCTCTTGGTCATGTATCATGTATGAGCCCCAACATAAAACCAGACAGATATGAATAGAAAGATCAGGACACAATATGCCCTGCAGCTAATAGGGTTATGGGAGGATTTCTATTTTCTTCCTTGTCATCTTTGTAACCTTTCCAGGTTTCCACAACAGGAGTTTCTCTTCTCATTAGAAGAGCAGTGAATGATGTTTAAGAAACTTCTTGGGGCATATGGCATGTAGTAAGAAAAGCAGCTGTTGGAGCAAAGTTAACTACAAATCACAAGCTTTGCATCCAGTTTGATGGGAGAAAACTCTTAATGATCACAAAAGACTGCCTATTGTACGATTCCAGTTATATGACACATCCAGAAGAGGCAAACCCATAAAGATAGAACGTAGATGAGTGGTTGCCTAGGGCTGGAGGGACAGAGGAGAAAGGGACTGGCTGCTAATGGGGATATTTTTTTTTTTGGTGGGGGGGGAGTGACAAAAATGTTCTAAAATTGATTATACTAAAATTGAATATACTAAAAGCCATGGTTTTTATGTGAATTATATCTCAATAAAGCTGTCTTATAAATTAAAAAATAAAAGAACATTCAAAACAAAGAAAATGGAATTTTTTTCAGAAAAAGAAAATCCAGACTTAGAAATGTGACGCACAGGGGATATGATCCTTTTAAAAAGATGTGTTCTTTTTCTTTTTTTACAAAAATAATACAGGTTGGGATTCCGGTTTCCAGTCTGACACATAAAGATGAATTCACAGTCAAAGAGAGAAGCCCTCGCTTTCCTCTTTCCTTTTCGTGGTGAAGACTTTGCCCTATTGAAAGAAAAAAATCTGGTCAATAAGTCAGTTAGACTTGATTTAGGAAATAATATTGGAGTCATTATTCCCTGTCCTTGAGCCTAGAGAATGTGACCCAGCTGGAGCTGGGCTCACAAGGACTCCCAAAGACACATCAACTGGGCTCTAAGATATAAAGAAAATAGCTAGGATAATCTTGGAAAATATCTTTTAGGGAAACTTTCTCGTAAACAAATCTTAAAACAGAACACAAAAGACTCTTCACTCCTTATCTTTTTCTATTAGCATTTAGTGAATAGAAAATTTGTTGGACCAGTGAAGACCCTCCTGACTGTCCTTACTGAAACCTGTACTAATGATTGTTAAGGAAGACAATTCAAAATGTAGGATCACAGTTTGTAGCCAATCTGTGAAAAGGTGAAGCTTTCAGTAGTTTTGCCCATTCGTAACGTTATTATATACGGATGGTTCTGTAATATACCTACCTAGGAGTCGAGCAGACATGGCTGGGGCAGCATGCTTGTCCGATTTCCTACTTTTACCGTTTTGAGTGCGTGCTGAATAAAACTTTTTGCTTTACTAAACTTTGTGATTTTTTTCCCCTACAACAGAGAGAAAAGGTTTTATTGGGCGGAAAAAACTGTTCTCGAACTGGGAGCGCCCCTCCGACAAGATGAGCTTGTCACATTACTTTTTTTTTTTTTTTAATTGTACTTTAGATGATTTACAGAGCAAATTAGTTTCTCATTAAACAATTAATATACATATTGTTTTGTGACATTAGTTGCCAACTCCACAACATGTCAACACTCTCCCCTTCTGGATTTTGGGTTCCCTGTTAACATCTTTCCTGTCCCCTCCTGCCTTCTCGTCCTTGCCCCTGGGCTGCTGTGTCCATTTAGTCTCATTTGTTTTATGGGCCTCTCTAATCTTCGGCTGAAGGACGAACCTCAGGAGTGACTTCGGTACTGAGTTAAAAGGGTGTCCAGAGGCCACACTCTTGGGGTTTCTCCAGTCTCTGTCAGTCCAGTAAATCTGGTCTCTTTTTGTGAGTTAAAATTTTGTTCTGCATTTTTCTCCAGTTCTGTCCAGGGCCCTCTGTTGTGATCCCTGTCAGAGTAGTTGGTGGTGGTAGCTGGGCACCATCTAGTTGTGCTGGACTCAGTCTGGTGGAGGCCATGGTAGTTGTGGTCTATTAGTCCTTTGGACTAATCTTCCCCTGTGTCTTTGGTTTTTTTCAGTCTCCCTTCTCCCAGACGGGATGAGACCAGTGGAGTTATCTTAGATGGCTGGCCGCTCACAAGCTTTTAAGACCGCAGACGCTACTCAACAAAGTAAAAATCACATTACAATTTTGAACAGTTTACATACAGTACAAACTATTTGGGGATTTCCCAAAAGGGAAATGTAAAATGATTGGTTGTCATTCACTTAATCAGCAAGAGGTGGCTTGGACTGGTTTAATAAGTTTGTGTGTCTGCCCTTTATGGGCTAGTTATGGCTTATCTAATTACTATTTAGACTTTCCCCAGAACCGTCTTTATTACGAGTTTTTAGTTTCTGTAAAGGGTTCAGAGTTAACTTTTAACATTTTCTTTAATAGTCCTAACAGTTCCCTTGAAAGTCTAAAATTCTCGGCTCTTGACCTGGGTTTTGATCCTTCCTCTGATAAAGCAACACTAACAAACAGGAAGCCCTTTCAGTTAAGGTCATGGTTGAGGAACAAAGGCGGAGGTTCAAGGTTATTCCTTTGGGAGGGGAATTGTGAGCAGTGATATTCTTTCATGGGTTTAAAGTGAAATTTATTACACATTTTAATGAATTATCAGGACAGAACTCTGCAGATGGTGTGAGGCTACTTCAGGTGGAGACTGTGGGATCATGGAAAGAGCCTGAAAAACCGTTACAAGGACCAGCTTATTGAACCGAAAAATGCAAAGTCACTGTTCTAGGGTAAAAACATCACAAAGTTTGGTAAAGCAGAAAGAAAGGTTTTATTCGGCATATGTTCAAAGAGGCAAAAGTACGAAACGGACAAGCATGCTGCCAGAGCCATGGCTGTCCAAGTCCGAGGAATATTACAGAATAGCAAAAGTGGGAAAACGGACAAGCATTTTGCCAGAGCTATGTCTGCCCGAGTCCAAGGAATATTACAGAACAGACAAAAGTGGGAAAAAGGACAAGCATGTTGCCAGAGCTATGTCTGCCCGAGTCCAAGGAATATTACAGAACAGACAAAAGTGGGAAAAAGGACAAGCATGTTGCCAGAGCTATGTCTGCCCGAGTCCAAGGAATATTACAGAACAGACAAAAGTGGGAAAAAGGACAAGCATGTTGCCAGAGCCATGTTTGTCCCAGTCCAAGCAATGTTACAGACTCACCGGTATATATTCACATGACAAATACGCAAAACCATTGAAAGCTTCGCCTTTTCACAGACTGGCTAAAAACTGCCCAATCACCGTGATTCTACATTTTGAATTGTCTTTCTTAATAAACATTGGTACAGGTTTCGGTAACAACAGTCAGGAGGGTCTTCATTGGTCCAACAAATCTTACTATTTACTAAATACTAACAGAAAAAAAATAAGAGTGCAAAGTATGTGGGTTTTTTGCGCTGTGTTTTATGATTTGTTTATGTGAAAGTTTCCCTAAAAGATGTTTTCCAAGATTGTCCCAGCTTTTGTCTTTATGCCTCGGGGCCCAGTTGATGTGTCCTTGTAGGTCCTTGTGAGTCCAGCTCCAGCTGGGTCACATTTTAGGACAAGGAATAATGACTCCAATATTATCTCCTAAATCATAACTTTCCAACCAAACAAGTGTGTCGGGGATTAAATAATTCCAATTGCACCATTATAGCTCAGGAGAGAATCTAGGGGGGTTTCTAGTGTTCTGGAAGATGCTGGCCAGTGTGCTCTAAAGTTTCAACAAATCTTATCTATTCCCAAGAGGAAAGGGAAAAAAAAGACATTTTCTGCTTTATTTTTGTTTTAAAAAAACAACTATAATCCAGGCTCAATTGTTGCCACTTAAGAAAGACAGCCTGGCACTGGGAACTGTGCAAAAGCTTGTTCCGAAAGGAGGGAAGAACTTCTTACAATATGAAAGTTTTTAAAACTAGATTTGTCACACCATAAAAATGGCAGCTTAGAGTCCAATAAGTGGAATCTTCCACCAGTTTCTATTCCACCAGGGCCAGGGGTATTGTTACAGCAGTAACGCAGATTAGAGCTGCCTGCCGCGATAGCCAATTCTGAGACGGGGTGAGGTGAGCAGCCAGATGTGTATTATATATGGATATATCGGAGACAGAGGGGAATAGATTCCTCCAAAAAACCCGGCTCCCCCACTGGAGATCGGCTGAAGGCTTTTGTAGGGACAGGATTATGGGTCTTTTGTGGTTGTTTCCCCTTGAGGTGATGATGTCTTAGATGAGTTAACCTCCTACTGGTATTCTTAGAGGTGATCTGGTGACATCTTTGGGGATTATCTGGCGACAGCCTGCTTTTTCATGTCACAGGATGGGTGCTTTGTTTGGTTTTTCATTTGTAGATCATTATCGCTTGTTTTCCACCCTCCAGGAAGGAACATGGGTTAATCTTAAACCTTTCTGTAGAGACTGGGGCCGGAGGGAAAAATCATGAGAGATGTGGCGGCTAGCGATGGGGAGTAAATAATAGTGAGCCGGGCCTACGCAGCCTCTTCCAGTGAGATCATACAGGATTTGTCCTTTTGTGACTGATTTATTTTGCTCAGCATGATGATTTCAAGGTTCATCCATACTGTGGCATGTATCGGGACTTCACTGCTCTTTATGGCTGAGTATTCCATTACATGTATGTATTTTGTTTATCCACTCATCTGTTGATGGACATTTTGGTTGTTTCCACCTTTTGACCACTGTGAATCAGGCTGCAATGGACACTGGTGTACAGGTGCCTGTTTGAATCCCTGCTTTCAAGTGTCTTGGGTAAATACCTAGACTTGGGATTGCTGGAGCATATGGTAACTGTATGGTCAACTTTTTCCCACCGTTTCTGTTGTTTTAGTCTGTGGTAGCTTGTTAACAGGAGTCCTAGGAACGAAGATTCTCTTCCTGAGCAATCACTGGATGCCAGGCCTGATTCTGTCTCCACGTGACCAACCTGCTTGACCCCCTCAACAATGCCTGGAGGTAATACTATCAATCCCTATTTCTCAGTGCGAAGAGATGAGGAAACTACGTGAGAGTTGAAGAAACTGAGCTGAGGAGATGAGGAAACTGAGAGTTGACCTACCTTGACCCAGGTGACACAGCTGATGGAGGAGCTGGAATCCAACAGGACAGTGTGGTCCTGGAGTCCAGAGCTTTCCTAGGCTACCACCTCTCAGCCAAATAAATGAAGCCCACCCAACAGAGCAGGAGTGACTTTGTGGAATGCATTATAGTCTACTAGGGGTGTGGTCTGAAAATACAGTCGCCTGGTGCTGAATAAATACAGGATCTGAAATAAGGGAAGGAGCTGTGGTGGCACAATGGCTGCTAACCAAAAGGTCGGTGGTTCGAACCCACCAGCAGCTGTGTTCCCATAAAGATTACAGCCTAGGAAACCCTATGGGGCAGTTCTTCTCTGTTCTGGAGGGTTACTACGCATCAATTAGACCCATCAGCACACAGCAACAACAAAGTCTCAGATAATCTGGGACACAGGATGGGGGAGCTGAGCTGAGCCAACTTGACCTTTCATGGTCGTCAGGCTCTCTGGGGTAAATGCCAGCACCCTAGGACGATCAGAGGCAAGCTTGATGCCAGATGGCGCATCAGACTGAAACCAGAGTTCTGACACCCATGCAGGTCATCAGCAAGCAGACTCAAAAATGGCCAAGCACTCTGTCGTTTCAGGCCCTCTGACAGGCAGCTCATATGCACATCACTCTCAGTCAAAGACAACGCTGCTCCTTGGGTAGGATCAGCCAGCCTTTGCCCAGGGTAGGTCACAGTCCCCTGGGGTGCTGCTCTGAAGGTGTTAGGTTGCTGGACTTACCAGGTTTGAAGGGCGGAAGTACCGATTCAAATTTCTGGCCAACCACAAATCCTGAATACCACTCATTTCACAAAAGAAAAATTATTTCTAACATCCCTTATGCTAATTAAGGAACCCTCTGGTGCCTGGCCACCGCCCTTCTGTCAGTTTGTGGTACTGTGGTGGCTTGCGTGTTGCTGTGATGCTGGAAGCTATGTCACTGGTATTTCAAACGCCTGCAGGATAATTCATGGTGGACAGGTTTCAGCAGACCTTCCAGACTAAGACAGACTAGGAAGAAAGGCCTGGTGATCTACTTCTGAAAATTAGCCAATGAAAACACTACGGATCACAGGATGGGGCAATGTTTCATTCTGTTGTACGCGGGGCAGCTGTGAGTCAGAGCCCACTTGATGGCAACTAACAAGAACTCATGCTTCGCTTCGAAGGTGTTGCCCAAACTTTCTTTGGGTGTGGTCTCCTGTCTTTAGGGTATTTCAAATGCCTCCATGTACACACAACTCAACAACAAAAAGGCAAACAACCTACTTTAAAAATGGGCAAAGGACTTGAATAGACATTTCTCCAAAGAAGATATACAAATGCCCAAGAATCCCATGAGAGGATGTCAAACATCATTAGTCATCAGGGAATTGCAAAACAAACCACAATAGGATATCACTTCATGCTCACACACACAAAAAAACCCATTGCCTTTGAGTCATTTCTGACCATAGCAACCCTATAGGACAGAGTAGAACTGCCCCATAGGGTTTCCAAGGAGCAGTTGGTGGATTCAAACTGCCTACTTTTTGGTTAGCAGCCGAGCTCTTAACCACTGTGCCAACAGAGCTGTTTATGCCCGAGTATGGCTATAATCAAAAAGGCAGACAATAAATTTGGGAAATTGGAACCCTCATGCATTGGTAGTGGGATTGTAAAACGGGGAAGTGGTATGGAAAAGTTTGGAGGTTCCTCAAAAGGTTAACTATAGAGTTACCATATGACCCAGAGAAGCCCTGGTGACACAGGGGTTAAGTGCTTGGCTGCTAACCAAAACGTCAGCGGTTCGAACTCACCAGCCGCAGAGAAAGATGGGGCAGTCAGCTTCCGTAAAGATTACAGCCTTGGAAACCCTATGGGGCAGTTCTACTCTGTCCTACAGGGTCGCTGAGTTGGAATCGACTCGATGGCAATGTTTTTGTTTTGTTTTTTTGGGGTATGACCCAGCAATTCTACTCCTAGGTATATAGGCAAAAGAACTGAAAACAGGTGTTCAGACAAAAACTTATACATGAATGTTCACAGCAGCATTATTCACAGTAGCCAAAGGAAACAAGTCAAGTGCCCATCAACAGATGAATGGATAAACACAACGTGGTCTATACATACAAAGGAATATTATTCAGCCATAAAGAGAAAGGAAATTCTGATTCATGCTACAACATGAAGTGAACTAAGTCAGCTATATAAGATAGGATCTGCATAATCTTATATGATTCCATTTATATGAAATGTCCAGAACAGGCAAATGTAGATGAGCGGTTACCAGGGGCTGGGGGGAGGAGGGAAGGGAGGTGCCTAATGGATCTGAATCTTCCTTTGAGGGTGATGAAAATGTTCTGGAATTAGACAGTGGTGGTGACTGCACAACACTGTGAATGTAATAGGCGCCACTGAATTGTACACTTTCAAATGGTTAAAATGGTACATTTTATGTGTATTTTACTGCAATAAAAATTTACAGTTACATAAATCATTGTGTATAAATGGAAAGATGTTTTAAAATTACTGATGGCATGACACAGTCACCATAAAAAAAAACAAAAACCCAAATCCGTTACTGTCAAGTCGACTCTGACTCACAGTGACCCCGTGTGTTATGGAGTACAACTGCTCCACGGGGTCTTCTTGGCTGAGATCTTTACAGAAGCAGACGGTCAGTCCTTCTTTGGGCGAAGCTGCGGGTGGGTTTGAACTGCCAACCTTTTAGTTCAATAGTCAAGTGCAAACCGTTTATGCCACCAGGGACCTTATGGTCACCACAGCCATGGTCATTTCCAACCCCCACCCCCCAGCAACTCAGATGACCGGTGACTGAAATGCTCTTGTGGAAGATGATGTCACAGCACGAGAGATTCCCTCTTTTCTTTCAGGGTGAATGATTTGTTCAAAACCACCTCCTAGACCCCACCCACTGGCCTGTTGGGGCAGAGCCCAGGCTCTGGGTCTCTCTAGCCACCCTCTCCCCACCAGAACCTTCCTGCATGGCCACCTTGTCCTAAAATGCTGCAGGTGGGAACAGTTGAGGGTTTCCTACCCCACCAGGGTATTTGCACCATATTAGGGAAGGCGCCCTCTTCCTGGGAAGGCTGTTCGGAAAACCCAGAGTGGACTGGGGAGCGGTGGGAGGGATCGTGAGGGACTGCGGAGCTGAATGACGCTGCTCCACCCTGACACAGAAGTGCGGTGGGCCCCACACAGCCCCCGTCTGGCCAGGACTGGGAGCATCTTCTCAATACGCTGGCAATTTCTGGAAGGTCTTACTAGATGAGTCATCAAGGAAGGTTTGTTATTGGACTGATAATTAGGGGGATCTGACACGTGCTCATAAAAATACCTAATTAAGTCCTCAGCATAAGCAGTGGCTCTGAAATGGTGGTGGTCTCAGAAGCCCCCAGATAGCTGACAGAGCAGACGGTCAGCTCTGTGTAGGGCTGGGTCCCCCATTGGACTCTAAGGTGACCAGTTTGAGAACCACATGCTCAGGTGACTGCCCAACAGCTGAGAACAGGTAACCTCCAGCTGGGAACAGGTAACCTTCGTCCTTCAATAGCCCAAGAAACAAAGAGTAAAAGTGAATTCACCAGAATGCTGTGCAGAGGCCTGGAGGTTGGCCGGCCACCACCCCTGCCCCTCCCGCCGCTGCCTTTTCATCTGGGTGCTTTGGATTCTTTACCAGTGTCAAAGGTGGCGTGGGGTTGGGGGGTGGGGAAACTGCCTATCAGTGAGGCAAGGGCCCCTAGCGGACAGAAAAGGTGGAAAGGGGAGAGATCTGCTGCAGGCAACAATGGATTCATCGGACCCTCCTAAGAAAGCCAGACGGTGCTGATCTCTCAGTGGGAAGGAGAAAAGGCAGGGACCAGTTCTGGCCAACTGCGGATTCCCACCGGGCTCTCTCACCTCTCACTGCCTCTGAACCTCGAGTTTCTCTTACCCAGTTTCCTCATCTGCAAAATAGGGATGAACATTATTGCATGGTTGTAAAGACTAAATGTGTTAATGTTTGAAATGCGCTTACCGTATATTGAGTGCTCTGTAAATGTTAACTATTATTAATTAAATAATAATTATTACTTAGAACGTCCTTGTTTTCTACCTGACGGGTGTAGCAGTGACCCTCCGGGTTACTTATTCCACTTGCTTCCCAGGCCGCATGGTCCTAAGCACGTTGCCTTGGTGCACCCAAGGCGTTGGCCTGGGTGTCACTGATCCCATGGACCCAAATCCCCAAACCCGGCCATGTCACAAGGCCGGGAAATGGAGGAGCCTCGCTGGTGTGTTCCTGGGGTGGTCTGGGGAAATCTTCAGCCAGTGTGGTTACTAGGAAGCGGAGAGGGAGATTCGTCAGCTGCGGTGGGGAAGGGAGGGCAAGGGGGCTGGGATCGCGTTCCCAACAGATCCGGAATGTGGAGACCGGGCAGAGGTGGGGGCTGGCCACATGGCTCCGGCCCCGGGGCACCCTGAGGTGGGAGGGCCGGCCATCCACCCACGTGGCGGGGGGGGGGGTGGCGGTCGCAAGAGGGCACTCGCGGTCCTCTAGAGCCTTCTGGGCCCGACTTCCCCCTGCCGCCCCAGACTTGGGACTTGACGCGCTGGAGGACAGGGAAAGGGGGAAGCACGGCGCTACGATGATGCAGGCGACAGGGGCCGGCCTGCGCTGCGCGGGTGCGAGGCTGACATCTGGCCTAAGGGTAGAGAGTGTCCTGCGGGGCGGCGCGGTGCCCACGGCCGGAGGGGCGGCGCAGGCGGGGGTGCCAAGGAGCAGGGGGTTGATAGAACGCTGGTTCCGGGGCCGCCCAGGCTGCCAGCAGGGATTCGCGACAATGACGTCCCCTAAGGTGGAGACCCGGAAGTGCGGGCCGCGGGCGGGGAAGGCCAGTCCGTGTCCCCGCCAGCGAGCTCGCGAGCGGCCTCCGCGAGACTTTGCCGCTGCCCTCCCCCGGGGCCCCTCTCCCTGCCTTTCGCATCTCGCGGGCCTGTTCCTTGTTGGAAGTGTTTCTTGTTCGGCCATGCCCCGGGGATGTCCTGCGACTGAAGTCGGAGACGTGGCGCCGCCACCGCTGTGTGTAGTGTGCCCGCCCGGCGGGTGTCTGCAGAGTGAATGAATGAACAACGCTGCAGTGTCCTCACTGCCCGCCACGTGCCCGGGAGCGCTGCAGGGGAGTGTTCGCGGCAGCAGAGGGACAGCAGGTGTGACCGGCAGCGGCTCTGCGCCCTGGTTTTCCCTCTATCCCAGAAGGGGGCGGAAGGGGCGGAGTCTGTGGGTGTGGGCGGCGCCCTCCCGGTCCCGGCCACGCCCCGGCGCGCAGACCGAGCTCGCGGCTCGGAGCCGCGCTGATATTAGAGGGAGGCGGCGTGGCGTCACTGTGATCGCCTACGCCGAGCGGGCCAAAGCCGAGCCGCGGCGACAGCGGCGGCGCTGTGAGCCCGCCCACCCCCGCGGTCCCTCGGCCCCGCGCCGCGCGCCAGACCCGGCATGGAGCAGGAGTGCCGGGTGCTCTCCATCCAGAGCCACGTCGTCCGCGGCTACGTGGGCAACCGTGCGGCCACCTTCCCTCTGCAGGTAGGCGCGGGTTTATGTAACGCGCCCGGGCTGTCCCCGGCGTGGTGGCTGCAGCGCTGGCTCTCCGGGCGCATGACCTTGGCCGAGCCGCGGAGCCCAGTCAGGAGCGCCGGCTGCGGGCCCCCAGGGCCAGGCGCGCGCAGAGCTCGGCGCGGGGGCCGGCGCGGCGTCCCTGGAGCCCGGGCGGTCCTGGCGGCGCGTGACGCGGCCCCGCGCAGGGCAACGGGCCCCTGGGAGCGCGGAGGAGGCGAGCGAAGGGCTCAGCCTCCTCCCCTGTGACCGGCCTTGCAGGGTGGGGTCGGGGATGAGCATTCACGGGTGGGAGGCAGCGAGGGCGAGAGGGGCGCGGGAGCCGGACCTTGAGGACTCGGGTGCCTGGTCCTCGCGTCGGGGTGGGCGGGGGTGAAGGTGCTTAGGTAGGACCAAGCCCCCGTGGCGCACTCTCCAGCCCCTGCGCCCTTCCTGGAGCCGAGAAAATTTGCCACAGCACCGAGGTCACAAGAGTACAGTTTAGTGGGGGAGGTGAAGATAGGCCAGGCGTTTGCAGGGTGATGGATGGTGTACTCACGAGACGGGACCCCAGGATTATCTCCAGGCCCTTCTGTGGGGGCAGCGTGCCAGGAGGAGGAAGGGGCTGAGTAAAGTCAAGGACTGGCAGGCCACAGTGCGGACGGGGTGGACCCCCCATGCTGGGCCCCATGGCCCCCCGACCACTCAGGAGGTGGTCAAAGGGAAGGTGGTGGCATGGGGTACCTGAAAGAGAAGCGTGTGTTCCACGGTCTGCTCTGGAGAAGTAGCATTCCAGGGACATCCTGGGACAGAGCTGGGGTTTGGGTTTTAAAAGCTACTTTTTCAATGTTTTAATCTTTCCTTCACTGGTCCCGGGGGAGCTCCTGCCTGGTGAGGGGCTCACAATGGCCGGCCCCCAACTGCTTCCTGTTTGCAGTGGGAGGTTCTGGCTGGGTGGTGCTTGGTGGGGGGCTGGGTACACTGGGCCCACGCTGGGCCAGGATGGCACCAGGTGATGGGCACCCGCTCGCCTTGTTCCAGCAGGAGGGCCGGACGACTCACCTGGACTGCCCACCTCTGGCTGTCCCCGAGAGCAAGTGTGGCAGGCCCCAGGGTATGCTCAGTCCCTGTGCCACCTGCCTCCGTGGGACGGCAGGCCCTGGGGCTCAGGTGCCAGCGCAGCCACATCTGGGGTAGATGGAAGGTGGGTCTGGGAGAATCTGAGGGCTGACAGGAGGCTGGCATGCCAGAGGAGGAAACAAGAGTGTTGAAGGTAGAAAAGCATGGAGGTTCAGGCCCAAAGCGACACAGGCCGATGCTCACTTCTGAGCACGCGCTGTCTTGTCCTGGAGTGCTCACTCAGCCAGCCGGGGGCAGATGCCACCCTCCTGGGGCTGCCGCATAGCCTGAGCTCTCAATAGCCGCTGCCCCAGACTGCTGGCTCCTAGCCTGGGGGCAGGCATGGCAGGTAGGCACTGAGGTGGGATTGTGCTTGGGGAGAAAGGTGCAGGGTCCCTGAAGCCAGGGGGTGCAGAGCCAGCGGGGTTCTGAAAACAGCTTCTGTGTGCTGCCAGGGAAGGCAGGAGCAGCCCCAGCTTGTCCTTGCCCGGACGCTCCTCCCCATCCATCTGCTCCTACTCTGTTCTTGCCCCTCTTCACTAGGCAGACTGTTCCCGTTCTCCTCGGCTCAGCTCGGGACCTGCAGTGATGCCACTGTGTTCTGGAGCTCTAGGCACATGCCTCAGCATCAACCTTGAGGACCCTCATGTTCTAATTACTCTGAGCAGCCTCTCGACTGCCCACCTGGGAGAGTGCTTCTTAAGGACAAACCTGTGGTTCTTACCTGGGCTCTCTAGTGCCCAGCATCCATACCTGTGGGCAGGTGCACTCGGGAAAGCTAAACATGCAGGCATCCCTGGGGATTGTCATAAGGTCATGCTGGTGGGGACAGAAAGGCAAGGTAGGTGGGAGTGCATGTTTCTCCTGCCTTCCGGGTTCCTTGGTACCTGCAGGCCGCGGCTGCGGGTGATTTCTCTGTGTCCCATTCAGCCCATTGCTACCTTCCATCCCCACAGGTGTGTGAGACTCAAGAGAGCATGGCTGGGCAGGTGTTAGTAGAAGGGTGGAGTGTGACCTTGAAAAGGTCACCCATTTACATTTAGCCCTTGGGCTGCTCAGTGATCTCATCTGTAAAATGGGATGATGCCTGTTTGACAGAGCTGTTTTAGGACCAAGGGAGATAGGGAATACGTACAAACTTTCTCCAAGCTGTCTGAAAAGGAGAGGTATCAGGTGTGCCCTGTTCACCTGTTCATACACAGGAAGATCAGAAATGAAGATGGTGTGGCACCCAGCGTGACTGGGGGCATCTGGTGTTGGTTTGGATGGCGTGGATGTGGACTGAACCCCCACTTCCTTACAGGTGTCCTTTGCATGGTGGTGGTCCTCAAATCATGCCCCCTCCACACCTGGACCTCAACCAGAACAATTCCCAGAAACATCTTAGTTCACTGGACACACGCCTGCCGAGCACCTGCGGGGCTGATATGCAAAGATCACACAGTGCTTGTCCTGGGCTACCTCACCAAAGTTCCACAAGCTGGGGGCCTTGTAAGATCAGAAACTGATTCTCTCACAGCCCTGGAGACCCCAGGTCTGAATTCAGGGTGTCGGCAGGGCCCTGCTCTCTGACAGCTCTAGCAGAAGAGCGTTTCTTGTCCCTGCAGGTTTCTGGTAGCCCCAGACGCTCCTCTGCCTCCGTCTTCACGTGGCCGTCTGTCTCCCCGCTGTGTCTGTGTACCTGCAGCGTAACTCCGTGTTCACGTGGCCATTTTCCTTCTGTCCCGGTGTCCATCCTCCTCTTTCATAAGAACACCAGTCATGTAATTTAGTCTCCACCCTACTCCCGTTCTCGCGTTGACCTAACTGATCACATCTGCAAAGACCTTATTTCCAAACAAGGTCACGTTCACAGGTACAGGGGTTAGGGCTTGATCATATCTTTTTGGGGAACACAGTTTAATCTATAACAGTGTTCCTGGGTCTCATGCTGGCTCTTTGCTTCCCTGCCTGGGTGTGTTTCAGCACTGCTAGAGCGAGAAGCAGTGAGAACCGGTGGGGGTGGCTGAGATGGCTGGGCCAACCTGTCAAGCTTGGGCTGGGGTGGGTGGAGCCTGGATCAGCTCTGGTGAGCCCAGGATGGGCTGGGGTGGGTGGACCCTGGAGATGGCCTTGGTGCCCCAGCACCTGGTGGCCTCCACTAGTGACTCCAAGGGGACGCATCCCCAAGTCTAGAGCTGCTTGAGGTGGGGGACATATTCTTAGTTTTGAGAAAATCCCAGCTCCTTATAACTTGGAGGCATGCTCCTTCACAAAGTTGATTGAGGAAGAACTTAGAAATGGGGCAGATTGTAGTCTCTGGCTGTGGCCCAAAGATCCGTCCCAAGGCTACCAGGGACGAGACTGGGAAACACCCAGGGGATGGCCTGGTGGGGCAGGAGAGGCCACAGTGGGACTGAACTGGGCTTCAGGGCTTGCTTGGTATCTTGTCTTCCTGGAATCCACTCTGGAATTCTAAACTGGCCTGAGCCTCATTTGCAAAACAAGTACAATTCCTCTTGGCAGGCTGGGAACTAGTGGAATGCTCAGCCCTTTGTGCCCAGCACAATGAGTGTCCTGTTCCTGAGAAGCTCCCCATAATGAGCATGGCCATAGCTCAGCCCTGACTGGAGCTTGGGTCTCAGGCCACCGTGGGTCTCAGCCATCTTCCCTGGTCAGAGAACGCTGCACAAAAGAGAAACGAGCTGAACCTTGGCCCTGTTTCTGGATTTTGTTTCCGGGCTCAAGTCCAAAGTACTTTTCAGTGTTCAAGGCGAGTGGAATAATGTGACTAGCAACAGCAGAAGGCGAAGGGAGGCAGGCAGAATGTTTTGGTGTTTGCAGAGCAACACCAAGGGTCTTCGTGCCCCTTGGCCTTCCTTGCCTACCTCTGCAGGCTGAGGGGTGAAGGGAGGGGAGGGGGCCAAGGACAGACAGTCCCCAGGATGCCTCTCTGTGCCGGGCTGGGACTTCCCACTGCACCTCTGGATTCTAGGTGGTAGAAAAAGAGAAATGAAGGAGTGGGATGAGTTGAGGTGGCCTGGGCCCTGCTACCATCCCCAAACACCAGTGGAGTTATTTCCTCTTAAATGTAGGAAGCCAAAACATCTGCCAGGGCCGGGACCCCGTGTACGCGGAGCTGTGGGACGTCTACCGGACACGTGGGCGTAGAAGCTGCCCCTCCTGTTTTTCCATAGGCCCAACTCTGGGTGGAGATCCTGGAGTCCCCGGGGCAGCCCCACAACCTGCCTCTGCCATGTCGATTCCTGTTTTGGTAAAAAAAAAAAATGGTACCCGAGGCTTAGGGTTATGTCGCAGTTTCTTGAGGCCACTGTAACAAAATCCCACAAACTGGTGACTTACAGCAACAGAAATGTATTCTCACGGTTCTGGAGGCCAGACGTCTGAAATCAAGGTGTCAGCAGAGCCATGTTCTCCCCGGAGTCTCTAGAGGGGGATCCTTCCTTGCCTCTCCCAGATTCTGGGGGCCCCAGGCATTCCTTGGCTTGTGGCCTCATCAATCCAATCTCTGCCTCTGTCTTCCCTGGTCTTCTTCCCTCTGTCTTCTTTTGTGTCACAAGGACATCTGTCATTGAGTTTAGGGCCCACTCTGGTGGCACAGTGGTTAAGAGCTTGGCTGCTAACCAAAAAGTCAACAATTGAATCCACCAGCTGCTCTTTGGAAACCCGATGAGCAGTTCTACTCTGTCCTATAGGGTTGCTATGAGTTAGAACGGACTCCACAGCAACAGCGTAGGGTTGCTATGAGTCGGAATTGACTCGATGGCAACGGGTTTGGTTTTTGGTTTGGGTAATCCACAATCTTATCTAGAAATCCTGTCTTAATTACATCTGCAAAAACCCTTTTTCCAATATCAGAGTCACAGGTTTCG